GGGGGGGGGGGGGGGGGGGGGGGGGGGGGGGGGGGGGGGGGGGGGGGGGGGGGGGGGGGGGGACTCTATCCCCTACAAAAAAATGTACTTCCGTTCAGCTTGGGAGGGGGGAGGGAGCACCGCAGATTTCTGATGTCATGGGGGTATCGCACCATCACGTTTCATAATTGGAGCATTTCTTACGTTGTGGCCGAGATTGAGCGATATTTCTTAGCTCTTTTTGCTTATTTTTCGTACAAAGTTGAGCCTTTTTTCTTACAGAATTTTTCTTAACTGCGGGCGCTATCTGTATTTGTACGTGAAGTAAAGGGGTGGCAAGTACCGTGAGACGCAGTACCTTCTTTCGAAGACCGTTCATTCACTTACTCATGAAACTCAACAGAGCCGTAGAGCCAAGCCGTGGGGGTAGGTTCAGGGAACTCTTCGCGATATGTGGAAGGAAAAGCCATCAGGGTAGCTTTTGGTCTCCGCCGGGACAGTGATATGCACTGGTGTTCCTTGGTGCGACGCTGAAATACGCTCGATATTTTTCGTTTCACAAGAATGAGATAAATATATGTCTACTTGGACTTTCCTCCTTCTTCCGCTGCCGGCTATGCAGTACGTTGGTTGGCCAAGTACAAACTAGTGTACTGTAGTTGTTTTTAACACGCTGCAGATCTCATTTCAAGTATCGTAAACATGTTCGACGTCAACAAACGGTTGCCAATCGTCTCGGCGATGCTGACTTTTCGTACCACCCCCTAAGCAAAAGATGCGTAGTTTTAGGTATAGCATGCCTCCATTGGCCCCGGGGATGGTGAGCTATCGTCCCCTGAATTTTAAGGACGAAACCCCGCTTAAAGGACGTTTTCTTTCAGGAAAAACCATGTGCGTCCTTAAAGCGGGGTCGACTGTATCAGACGTTCCACTTCGGGGTTTTGTGCGAAGGCCGCCGAATCGAAAATGAAGAGAAGAAACAACCAGCTTCTCAGTTTGTGTTGTGTGTGTTCGTGTGACTTTCGTACCATCAATTTTCTGGGCGCCAGCCTACGGCTTTCGGTGTATTTTTTGACGCACCAGCTGGGATCAGAAAGGAAAAAGGCTGGCACTTGGGGAGGTTTTCTCTCGCTCTCCACTTTCCCCCTTGCGGTGCTTGCCTTCATGTTTCTTCGTGATAAGGATTCAGCAGTTCCTTCCCTCATGAGAGATTCGAACCCCAGATCTAGATGGAAAGCGACGAGTTTCTCAACTGAACCACCCAAGCGTTGTGCGTACGGCATATTGTTGTGTACAAGGAGCAAGCTGTGTCTGAGCCCGGGGCTGCTACTTGTGCTTATGTTTGTTGGTACTGATGCCGTCGTTGTGGTTGTAGAGATAGTACTGGAGGGGACCCAGGTGTGGCGATTGCGTGGTAATGGTACACAGACAGTTGATTGTTTGTGGCTAATATCTTGTCGTTCGATGTGTTGCTGATCTTTGTGGTGTCCACTTCTTTTATTTCGGCAATGTGACTCTTGTTTGAATGTGATGACTTGTGCCAGTCAGGGGATCCCTGGCATCGACCGATCCTATTCGGGGACTACTTGGATGCTCTTGTTGCAACTGTTGTCATTGATGGTGCTTGTGGCAATTGGATTCGGCGGACAGGTCGTGACAATCGCCTTTGATTATTACTTTCGCAGATTTTTTTGTTTGTGTTTCTCCCATCATTGGACTCTGTCGTCTGCCCCTCTGGCCCCTATCCTCCACTTCTACCAGCTAGACGACCCAACCGGGGTCACATAGGAGGGGGGGTTTGGACCCCCTCCTGCGGTTCCTGCCTGAGATATTTTTATCGCGAGAAGGGTACAGCAATCCCTTCCCTCGCGACTTAAGAAGTCGATCAAGTTTACTAACAAAGAGCTTTGCAGCGCATCGCTTCCAACGGAGACCAGCATTTAATTGGCGAGAAAAAACCCACTCTGTCGGGACTCGAACCCATGACCTGGCCCTTAGCAGGCTGCGAGGCTACCCACTAGACCACCGGGGCGACCGTGTAGTGTATCCAGACGGTGACTTCTTGAGGAACCTACGGTCAGGGTGACTGCGTCGATTCCTTTTCCGGTCATGATTTACTGCCAATACAGTCGGGTGATTCTGTATCGTCCACAACGCCTACAAGAAGACTTTCTCTCGTCAAGGTGTTGCATTTTTACCCCTGTCAACGAATGAGAGCACGTAATCACTCAAACGCAGTTGCTCCGGTAGTGATCAGATTCACACTCTTCGCTCGCCAACAATCGCATTCTGTTCTTAGCCGGCGAAGATTCTCTCGTCAAGCTCGCCGCTAGAACTCCTGCAACGTTTGCAATCAAGGTTTCGGGATCTCGTGTTTTTCCCCTGGCCCCTTGTTTCGAACAAGGCTGGAAGTATTGAGATTTACCTAACGCATAACCGACGGTTCGGGGCGTTTCCATTGCTCCAGGCCACCGGCCAACGTCTGTGTGGATACCGCGGTCATAACATTCACGGCGGGGGCTCAATCATGACGCCCTGGGATGATCTCCCATCCCCAAGCCCAAGTAGACACGTTGATTCCCCTTCAATTCTCTACCACCAACCTCTTCCATTTCTCAAGGGAATTGTGGGAGCGATCTTACCCCTCGTACAGTACCTTCGAAGTACACGTCAAACTTGCACATGTGGCCATGCTGTGCTCGAATCTGCAGCCCCGCTATTCAGGGCAGAAAACAAGTCTCGTCCCATTGCCGCAGCTTCCTTTCTTGTTATATCGCCTTCCCCAAATTCCAACAACCGTCCGTACGAAAACACACAAAACAGTTCGGGGGGTTACTTGAAATCAACCGTGCTGGTGAGCGCAGGGAAACAGGAAAAAACTGAGCGTTTCCCTGCTGCAGCCAACGACATTGCTTCCTCGACAACCAGAGCACTGCTGTTGTAGGGAGGCCCCGTTCAGACAAAAAAAAAAAACGCAAGACGCTATCGCTCCCGCTCGGTACGCGGTGCCAACGATCACCAATCAAAGACAACTTCAAAGGGCATGATTCTAACCTTGTCCCCCGATGTGCTTGGCAGGGGTGCATCAACGTGGGAGTCACACTGGCCATACCATTCCACACACATGCCTACAAAAATAATGCAGGAGGGGCTCAAGATAATGACACCGGTGATACCTGCATCCCCTACCCCCATGCGTTGCCGGGAAAATCCATGCGAATTTCCCGCCGGCCAGGCTCATCCCTTGCCCGTGCGCAGACAAAAAGTCAGTTTGAAAAACAACCATTCACCACCAAAAAACAAATAACATCGCATCGGCGATGGGACGAAGGGGATTGGCGACAACAAATAAAAGGGAGAAATATGGCTGGTATTCCTGCCAACTCCATAACATTCAGAATGCACATACGTCGCTGGCATGTTCTGCCATCTCCTTCCTGCTCTCCCCAGCTGCACTCGTGCCCTCGAAATGGATCTTTCTACACTTATTCCCCCGTTCCCCCCCCCCCGGTTCGGTTGTCGTTTTGTTTTTTTTCGTCTCCTTCGCTGTCCTAATTAACCGCACGTAGTTGACTGGCCTTGTCTTCTCCCTTGTGCCAGGCGACCGAGAAAGGATTCAAGCTTTCGTCAATGTTGGAACCCGCTGAACGCCTGGCATTACGAACAACAGCAGAGTAACACTTTCGCGATCGCGCAGGTCACATGTAACAAAAAAACGGTGAACGAGCATGTCGCGATTTCGCAGAAAGTGTGAGAGCTTTCCTGTTCATCAGTGAACCTCGTACTTGGAAAGACCCTTTCGTGTCAAATGGACGCAATAACTCGGGTGCCATACATCCAGGATCTTTTTCTCTACTGTAATTTCGTACTTTCAACAACCCGTAATTTTCAACCACTCGATACGCAGGGCAACAGCCAAAACAACCGGCAACCCATCAAATGTTTGGTTTGAGCCCTTGAGCAACGGTCCTTAATTTCTTGGTGGAAAGACATCCCGGGACGCACTCACAGACAGGGAGGGGGGCGCAACCTCCACACCAATCTAAAACCCTCGGCGATTCTATCGTTCGGTGCCCGCCGGACAAAAAAACAACGTTCCTGTCGGGCCTGAACAGGATATACGATCTGTAGAGGACGATATAACTTAGCGCTTTGAACTGTTGGCAGAAAGTCTGCTGTCGGCTGCTGCCTGTGCGTGTTGAGCATCCACGTGCTGGGACATTCTCCTGCTGGGCTCTAGTCTCAAACCAACTCATACAACGTCCTCACCTCGCCAAGTTCACGTCCATCGTCAGAACTTCACAACGTGGATCAAGGACCGCTCGCACGCGACGTCGGTGGGCCCACCGCCTTGGCACAGGTCCAAAGTATATCCCGCGATAGCCACAACACACAGAAAAGCGCTCACCGCCTCATGTGACGTGCAATACCTATCAAGCCACCTGATGCTTCAAGTGCGTGTGTGGCGGAGGGGCGGTCCTCCAGCCCTCGCTGGTGCAAGGCGTAGACGCCGCATTGCGCGCTCCACCCCGTCCACACTCTTTGCTCGTGCTTTTTGTACAGCTGCAGCAAGCAAGCATGGTGTTTCAGGTTTGCACAGTACGAGGGTGCTCACGCCTAAATCCCACTCGTCCAAGCCGGGAAACTGGTTTGCGATGCCGACCTCGTCTACGCAAGCCCGCGGACTTGGTTGTTGGTCCTTGGCCGCTGTGTCGGAAGGCATAAGCTTCTCCACCGATCTTTGTTCCGCCGCTCGGGGAGGCGAACTTTGACAAATTGACCCCCCGTAAGTTGACCAAATGGACCAGCGCTCGGAGACTGGAGTGATTGATGAGAATAGACCTGATATGTCGATTCTAGAACTCTGGACCAGCTTCGTGAAGGCCGGTTCAGACCTTCGCGCACGGGTGCCTCAAACGCGGCGGAACTCCCTCAACCGACGCAGCTGCCACGTCCGGTCGTGAGTCTGTGCTGCCGCTGCGGCCGAATAAGCTATGAAATGATGAACTACAGTCCTTGTCACTCTTCACAACAACACCCTTGGTTTTGTCTAACCACTCTCGGCTTCGTGTTTCCCGATTCTTAACAGGTTGTATTCCTGTGTCCGCAACTGTGTCCTGTAGATCTCGTTCTGGTCCCAAGTATTTAGGGTTTTCGGATATCAAACTTTGGGGTCCCTGTTCCACGCGGCGGAACAACAGGCCGAACTCAGAGCCTGTTTTTTCCTTCGTGGGACGGAGGGAGCGGTCGAGCTTCGTGCTCCGCGGCTCGATATCAATCTTCCCGCGCGGACGGACGCGGATGATAAGATAAACATTACCATTTCCTTCCCTTCATTTCCTTCGCTTCAACAAGCGTGATTTCGTGTTCTCTGAAATACGCCGCTCTAACTTGGGCAAACCAACGCCAATGTCGTCAGCCCTAGCGGGCCAAGTACGAGTGAGTGTGTGTTCCGTGGGTTGTCATGTTTTCTCGTCACTGCCCGGCTTGCTCTCTCTCGCCAACGGAGGCGGCACATCATTTGTGAGTCGTGAACTCTGCTGGCGCTCACCGAATTACCGAAGCTTCAGGCCTCTCCAGAGCTCGCAGACAGTGGAGGAGACCCTTGTAGAGCGAGATCCTCACCGAAAAGATCGTGCGGCGCCCTGCATGATATAGTGCAGACCACACCACACGAGTGCTCCTGCATGGATTGGAATGTACACAGGAATGCACCCACGGGAAAAAAAAGTCGAATAATAGGATAGACTCACAGGTACCAGGGGTAAATACAAAATTCCGCGGAACCCCTCTGCGTGCCTTGATGTCCATTGTCGATATTGCCTTTTCAGCACGGTAGCCCTCGACGCTCAGGTGGAGGATGGAGACAAAACTTGGCGAGAAGGTCAAGAACGTCACATAAAACAAGTGTGAGTCATTTTCTCTGGTGGTGTTTTGCTTGGGTGAGAGAAAACCGAGTCGTGGTCCTGACGCCATCTGGCGGCCTGTTTGACGCACCGATCATTGTTCCGCCGCTCGGGGAGGCGAACTTTGACGACAAATTGACCCCCCGTAAAGTTGATCAAATGGACCAGCGCTCGGAGACTGGAGTGAGTGATAAGCATAGATCTGATATATCGATTCTAGAATTCTGGACCTGCTTTGTGAAGGCCGAAACAGACCTTCGCGCCTCGCGCCTTCGCGCAAGGGTGTCTCAAACGCGGCGGAACTTCCTCAACCGGCGCAGCACGACGTCTCCCTTGTCCCTTGGCGAGAAGGTCAAATACGTCACATGATACACGTGTGAGCCACTTTCTTTGGTAGTGTTTTTCTTGGGTGGGAGAAAACCGAGTCGTTGTCCTGAAGCCGCAGTTTGCTTCTTGAGTAAGGAGGGAGAAAAACAGCGCACTCTCTACACTACTGTTCGTCGCGCCGGTTGTGGTGGTGCTTCGGCGAGGGTGGCCGACGGTGCTTCGGCGAGGGTGGCCGACGGTGCTTCACGCTTCATTGCAGGCACTTGTGCCCAAATTCGAAGGAAGTAGGAATGTCCTCCCCCTGTCCCCGTGTGTTCAGGAAGAAAGGCGGGATTGCAAAGGCGGAGATCTCAAGAGCGCGCGATTCAAATGGAGCCGATGGGGACCAGCAACAGCAGACAGCACACCAAAGCAGTCTGGTCTGGTCTGGTCTGGTGTCTGGTGCAGAATAGTAGTCTGGTAGCTGGTAAGGGGGTATTCGTGGATGGTGCACGGTGCATGGTGCATGGCGCCTTGGAATTTTGAATATCTGCGGGGGCCCCGCAGGATTATGCGCCGAATACGGCAAGATTGATTGTTTTCTTCGGCGGCCGCAACACTGACTGCGTCGGCGACTTTGCCCCGAAAATTGAGGCCATACCCCCCAAAAAAATTCGGCACAGGCGCCGTTTTTCTGCGAAATTGGGCGCAGCGCCGAACCGCCGAAGACTTCCCCCCCCCCCTGAAATAGAGGTAGCATACTGACCGCTTCATGTCTCGCACATGCACAAAATCACACCCACCCGCCGTGGTCCTATCCCTTCCATTGGTGAGAGCACAGCAGAAACAGCAGACCACCTTGTGCCCGTTCTCTAAGTAAACAACAAGGAGAGTCTTGACGGTTGTATTTGCTGTTGGAAAAATCTATGGGTGAAAATAGGATACATCGAGTGAGGTCTTGCCCACAGCAGCGGGGAGCGAAGTTGAGGCGGTTGGTGCTGTTGACGCAATCGCCACGTGGGACTCAAAACGATACAGGGATGACGGCTTTCGCTGGACAACAAATGGGCGGGGGAAGGGAACAAGGGAATCAAACAAACGACGCCGCCTTCACCAAGCGAAAAGGAAAGAAACTGAGATGCTGACAAACGGTCCATTCGAGAGAACGAGCTGTCTCTGTCTCTGGAAACTGCTGTGCTCCTGCCACTTTCCACCTGCTTTTCACACCGCTCTGCCCGACGGGTTCTATCTATAGGGAATGCTAACACTGTGTCTTGTTCATTTTTCCCCGGCGGCAGTGCTGTTAGGTGCCCGACGTTTGGCGGTACTGCTGTAGCATCGCGTGTGTCACGAACGTGTGTGTGTGTTCCTCCGCCCTTCGTTGGTAATGTGACCCCAGCGGGGAGAGGATGCAGAGTCTTGGAGATCCACTCAAAATATCTCGGATACGTATGGATGAAGTGAGTCTGCATTACACACAGCATCGGAGATACAGACTACTGCAGGTATTGAGCGACACGGCTCATTACTCTTCCCTATCTAGTACTCTTGAATACAAGGGCTCCGGACGCGGGGGGCTACCGCCACCCCCGTTGTTCGTTTGCTCCGCCGCTCTCCGTGTAGGGTGGACACGAAGTTCGTGAGATAAAAATGTAAATCGCATACCACCTGGGAAGCACTTGACCTAAAAGGGGAAAGGTTTGTTTCACGCAGACGTGGAGCTGTGAAAACTCTCACCGAACATTGAGTGTAATGATGAGCACAGACAAAGCTAGCGGAGAGCACCACGACTCTATGTGTACGACCGACCACATCTGCATGTGCATAACGGCCCGATTCGTCGGCCCTGGTTTGATAAGCCTGGCTCCGTACGCAAACGACAAAATTACAATCATTCCTTAACTCAGCAGGAACAGATCGGCCGGGACCCTCAGCACGAAAGGGGACTCCGCGCTGCCTCAATACCAAACGTTTAGCGCTCTCATTCGTAATTGCGTTGCACTTTCATCGCTTTGGGGGGGGGGGGAAGACTTTAGGTTTCCCTCCCTAATTTTTCCCCGGATCTCGGAAGCGCCTCTCCAGTCGCTGCGTACAAGCAGGGTTTTCTCAAACAAAAATATATACGCCACCCACCAACTGGAGAGCGATGATTGCTCAGTTGATACAGACGTCGGAATTCGTTTCATGGACGGCTGCATCAGACAACCGCGCGACATCCACAATCGGTGTGCTACTGCATAGCTAGCCGAAGAAGCTTCATGTCCCAACCGATTGCCGATGCCAACTTGTGCCAAAGCAGTGTCACACGCGGTGCACCCCCATCCCCTCACCCCTCTCGAAATTCAGAGACTGGGAAGGTTTGCTGGCGGAAGACCAATGCCGGCGCCTGCGCACGAAGGTGGCCGCGGCGTTGACGAGAAACCGAAAGACTCGGGGAAACGGGAAGATCCGGGTAAAAGACCGCCGGCCGAAGAAGGGATTCTGGCGCCTGGTCATGATGGCGACCTTGGTCATGGTGGCGCCCCTGGAGACGAAAAAAGGAAGGAAGGTCGTCCGTCGAACGACCCGGAAGAGGGCAAATCTGAAGAGAAGGGCGTGTCGAGCAAAGGCCCGGAGGCTTCTGCTCATGGAAATAACCCAGACCTAGCAAAACAAGATGATAGAGGTGCGCCAGGAAGATGGTGAAGCTATCACTTATTGTTGAAGCTGCTGGCAATGAAACTTATTTGAAATTGATCTTGCAACAGGATGGAGACCGAAAGCATGACCCCTGTAGTATCTGCCTTTCTGGTAGCACTGAATGGTTTTTGAATTGCGTTTCGGGCTCCAATACTTGCACAACCTCAGATATCGAAGGCCCGTTCTGTAGAGTGGCGGCGTCAGGTTGTGTTAGAACGCAGGCTGACCCCGAAACGTCTACACGGACAAGTTTTCCACGTGTTGCATTAGTTCCTGGTTTTGTTCCTTGGTGCTACACAACCGGCAGGCATCCTTGTGCCCCTTGTGGGCCTATGGGTTGCAACCTGGAATTATCCCGTTCAGAGCCAACACGAACCAAATCGCCACAAGGTGGAGTTTGCCTGTTTGTAAGAGAGCCATGGCTCAACCGACATACGAATTATTTGGTAGTTGCTGTAGGATACGACATTTGCTATTGTAAGTTCGTAGGCTATTTCAATTGGTAGGAGCTGCTACTTTTGCAATTCCCACGGGAAAAAAAAACAAACAAGGCCGGTCGCCGTATGTACCACAAATGATTCATCTGACCTGGGGAGATGGGTGCTGTACATGAAAGTAGCCCAACACGAAAGGGAGCAAGCATGCTTTGCATATCCTGAGTGGGTGCGGTGAGCTTTGTCGTCTAGCACGAAAAATAACGAACGCGTCGCAATACTCCGGCACAAGCAACGGTTATCCTGACCCTCCTTGGAAGGGGTAGCGGCTAGAACATAGTTTTCCGCATATAGTAGAATCCGCAAGGCGCCGCTGCTTAGATTACCTCACGTACAGAACTATTGAAAATGTGATATTTGACAGAACGAGAAGCCTCGGCTGATGCCTCAAGTTTCTTCTCCCGGTGCCAGGCAATGTAGAGCAATGGGCAGCTGTCGAGAGTTTTGTGATTTGTCTTCACAGCTGTTTTAGGGCCTGTTTCTGGAGTCACTCTAGCACAGATCACGGCAGAACCACGCCGTCGTCCTCTGCGCAGCCAAGCCTGAGACTGGCAGAGATTTTGCTTTCCACGGTTTTCCAGCTTGTTTGGTCGTCGATTTTAGAAAGTACGCATAACCTCACAGAAAGACTACCCGTTCGAGATATGACGTCAGTCGAAAGGGATGTGGTGAAGTCTTTTCAGTAAGTGGGTTGAAACCGACTGGTGACTTGGCTTATTTTGAGTTTGTGTAAGCCTAACACTGAGTGATCGGTTATGCCAGTTGGTGCTAAGAACAAAAGCATCTGTATTATGTAGAATGTGGCCTTCACAGGGAACATGGCGCAGTGTCGTTTGACACCTTGCTGTTTTTAGAAAGTACTTTGCTGCTGTTTTTGGCGACTCGAATATAGACTACAGTATGTACAGCAGGAGGACTGTTGTACACCCACCACATTTTTTTTTGTGATTTTTTTTCGATTTTCAAAATTTGAAGTTGTACTGTAGATTTGAGTGTAGTTTCCCGCTCATTTTGAAATCTACAATGTTATGTTGTTCTTCGTGTGTGATGAGTGTAGGTGAAACGCGTTGAAGGGGAGGGGGATACATAGGATAGTAGGTTAGGAGTGATACTGATTTGCAGCAATGGAGGTTAGCCTTTCTTGTGTGTAACGTATCAGCGAGGCAAATGAACAGGCGGCGGTCAGCGCGGGGTTTATTTTCTACTCTGGAATGGTTTTGAAGGGATACTGCTGGCCATGCATATTTCCCCTTCATGCCACACGCTTGGGAGGCGCTCAACCGCGCATCTCGCCGATCTGTTGGGGTTCCCTACCTCAAACCCTTGAGCGGTTTTCGGCTTGCTCACGATCCGTTCGCTTCTCTAAGATGATCTGCGAGACATCATCGAGAATGCCGACCTCAGACGGTTGGAGGACTTGCTGACCGGGGGACGAGCGAAGGAGCTCCTGCGGCAAACCTACGGTGGAAGCGACGGGGGGCTCGATACGTGCGCCTTGTTTAATGGGACCTTGCCACTCTTACACGCAGCGAAATGCGGCGAATCCAAAGAGCTGCTTTTGAGTGTACACACGGCATTAAAGGTGATTGCATTCCGACCTCATGTTTTCGGTGAATGTGCGGGTGTTGAGGCCAGGTAACCGACAACACCGCGCCCAGCCTGGTCAGAACGACGCTGTAGATGCATCTCGTGTGGAGCTGGGTAGGGTGGCCCGCCGGGGAGCGTTTGTTGCGTCATAGTCCGTTCAGATGGAGGATGACTGAAAAAGTACCAAGATAAGGTTTGCACGTGTTCGCGGTTATCGGTCATCTCTGACAGAGGTCTTCGAGGCCTTCGAGTTCAATATTTTTTTTTTGCCCCACGGGTACCACACACGACTCGATTTTGTTCACCCTCAACAACACCTCACACTAGTTTCTTCGTACTCGTCACTTTGTTGCTCACTCAGCGCGAGGGGATGCTACAGGAGCAACTCGTGGAAAAGGATGGCGGCGGCCGCACGGTGCTGCATCTCGCGGCTCTTAGTGGAGATGATGGCAACCTGGCGGCTGCCATTGATATTGTCGCAAAGCACCTCGACAAAAGCCAGGTAGGAATATCTGCACGAGTGTATGTGTTCGGCTGACCACAAGAAAAAAGGAGACCGTGGTTTTTGTCAGGGAAAGCTCGTTGTCGGTGCGATGATGGTGGGTCATTGATTGATTTCGTGGGCGGTGATATGTTTCGCCCTGCCAAAGAAGACTGGTGTTTCCGCGTAGAGTATAGAAGCAGTGCACGGAACCAAGCGTCGGCCATTGATTTCCTAACGATTATGTGCACTAGATGGTGTGGCCTTTCGCCATTTCCCTGCCCACCCACCCCGTTCATGCTCCTAAGCGTTAATAACGACCTACCGTCATAGGGTGGGGTAACTGAAGATTGCATGGAGGAGGGACTGGAAGGGATTCCTCGGGATAATGTCTCTTTCAGATTCCTGCATCGTTCGGCCCCCGGGTTTCTGAAACAAGGGACGCGGGGAACGGAACCTTGACTCCAGGGCTTCGCTTGCACTCTGTGCCTTGCAATTCGGGTTATGCTGTAGATGTTGACATCAAACGTCGCGTTGCATGGTGAGCACCCGTGGTATTCGATTCTACGAGGCAATTCTTGCCGTGCTGACTCCCGTGGGACGTGTTGGCCGCTCAGATGTTGGAGATGCTCAAGTCGAAGGACGCCGCAACTGGGAATACAGTACTGATGGTGGCAGCCGCCAGCGGGGAAGCTAAGAGCTTCAAGCGCGTTCGGAGTGCTCTAGGTAGCCAGGACAAGACCGAAGTGAGACTAAGAATCAAATGGCGAACTCGTGCTTGCAGGGTATCGTTGGCTGCATGGTACCACTAGTTATTCCCCTGTCGCAATGATTCTCGTGACGTGTGAAGACGAGGAGAACCAGGCAGGGAGCGCGTTGAATGAGTGAGCACCTTCATGGGCAACGTGTCTTGAATTGTTCACGAATAACAGGAACTGTACTGCTTTCCCCACTTTTCTCTTCGCTAGACACATCCGGCCCAATTTCGATGACGCATCTCGATGTTTCTCAATTGACGCACCGTACATGCCCGAGACCTATTTGTACCGAACAGTACTCCAATAACTTCGAAGTACGTGCAGGCGTTAGCCAACGTGCGTGCTAGTAGTACTTAAGCATAAGGCAGCGAGGTTATGGATCGGTCTGTCCGTTGATCGGAGGTGTTGAGAATGCTGCACAGGGGATGTTGTACAAATTACCACCTCGAGCCGTGCAACGCTAATTCATTGGTTGATGCAGGGTTGAGGTTGAACGGGTGCGGTGTAGCAAAGGATTACTCCGCTGCCGGCTTGTTCCTTCGCAATCATTCATCCCAACAAAGACGAATCTTCTCGTCTGTACCTGCATTGCTTTAGACGTACCAGCTCGTAACCGAGTTGTGTCGTCTTAAATCTTAGGTGACCAGTCTCAATTTAGTGTCAACCGAGCTCATTTTCACTCTGCAACAGCTGAGGCAACACCTGATGGAGAAAGACGGTCAGCATCGAACGCTGCTTCAACTCGCGGCTCTCAGCGGCAACAAGGATACCGTGGACGCTGTGTGGGATGCTTGCAAGGAGCATGGAATAGAGGCAACCGAGGTAACAATGGCGTCTTGACATGCTTGATTAGCCTTTTGGATGCCGAAGTGAGCATCGATTATTGGCTATATTCGCCGAGTTATCTTGGGGATCGATTGCATCGTACGATGACTTGCCGTTGTCGGTTTGCTGCATCGTTTCAGATGGGTTCGCGGCAACCGTTTCGGTGTGGTGGAACAACGGCACTGATGAAGGCGGTTGAAGGTCGTGACATGGACAAGTTTTTGGATGAGTTCGAACGTGAGCTACGCAAGGCCAAAGAACCCAAAGACGCCCAGGTACGGCCTTTAAAAGTTTATCTTGTTGCTGAAGCACCTCTTTCTAGAGTTTTGCCGTTGTGTATGAGCCTTGGTTTCATCTACCCGTGATTGTCTTACGTCGTTGCCAAAACCAGTGGAAGGGGACCATCCGGCATGGATGGGCCCGTCAAGAATTGTATCCATTGTATCTTTCCTTGTCTTCGGTGGGAACGACGATCAGCGAGCGCACTTTCAGAGATCCAACAAATGTGCTATCTCCTGGCCCACAGCCCCACCTTGTAGAAGCAGGCGAACGCGATCTTTGCAGCGTTCACGTTTGTCGATGAGTTCTTTGTGTTGTGTGTGGCACCCTCACAATGGGCAACGGGTTGGTGTGCAGGGTATTCACGGTGAGGCCGAGGAGCTATACGATCGCTTACAAGATACACTAGAGAAGGTGTTGGAGCCTGACCACCCAGAGCTTGCCACGCGGATCAATAACCGGGTGGTGTTGTCGGAGAAGCAGGTGAGAGCACCAGAGATTTCCAGGAAACTCTGTTTCATTGCCCTGTGCGCAGCCGAGTATTCTGAATGCTGTCACTCACTGTTCTCCGGGTTTTTTCGGGTCCACATGTGTTGGTGAATCGTGTTGTTCCTGAAATACCCGCTCCTTCAATTGAGCCGCTGCTAGTTATCCATAGCGAATTGCTGAAACCATAGCCGTCTATGAACGGTTGCAAGTCACATGAGTGAAGGGTGCTGGGTCCGGAGCATCCCCATGTGGAGAGGACGGTACGCACACACATGATCTCAACTACATTTGTCGAGTGTTTCTACAGTATTTCACCACCTGAATTACGCACGTGCACGAGCAAACAGTCGCAACACGGTGTAGTTAGCTGTCCGCTGTTAGCTCTCTGGTGCTCTTTGTACCCGCATCGACGTTTTCGTACAATTCGACACGTTACAACCGACCACCTTGACAAACTGGCGACGACAACGCGTAGCCTGTGTTCGCTCCTTTGCTTGGAGCCAAAGGTAGTCCACTCTCGTCGTGGGTAGGTGGAGAAGTGACGGAGCTTATGAGTTCGATATCTACGTTAACTTGAGACGAAGTGAGCTTTATTTAGATTTTAGTTGGGTGCACTTGTTTTGTGCAACGGCGTGCAGGGAAGTCTGTCCAGGACACCACGAGGACCTCCAAAAACAAGTCGGTCGTGTATTCGTCCTTGACGGTTCGAAGGTCACGTGAGTGAGTCGCGTAGAGGGCAACTCTCGCGCCCTCTTACAAAAGTTTTACGCGCAGAGCTGATGAGGTCCTCTCTCGACGTCGTCACTAACTGCGAGTCATCGTAGAGGCGGTCCGCATGATGTCGTTCAACTTGCGTGCGGACGTGTTCCGCGTCCTCCCTCGCATTCAACGATGATGTAGAACTCCCCCCTTCCTTTGCAGCAGCCCAGAGTAAAGACTTACGGGTGAGGTGTGGGAGTAGCTTCATTGTTCAAATGTGTGTCGCGAGCCGGTTGTTTTCTGTACACCGAAGGCAGCTGAAAAACGTTGTCGTGAGTCGTGTTGAACTTTTTTTTCGCGTCAAGTTTCATACCCCACACGTGTGTTTGAGATCGGTTTTCGGAAGCGGAATAGCCACCGGTGGTCCTCGTCTGTGATAATATGGAGGCATGCATAGAGGGAAACTCCATCCGAGCAACCATAGCGCAGGGTCTCGTTTTGAAGAACCAGGCGATATTTTATTTAGGTAGCGGGAAGCTGAACGGTTCCGACGCGATACACCACCGTAACCGGCTTGTGGCGACGATCCAAAGTTGACAATGCGGGACCACGACCGAAGCCAATGCATGATATACATGCTGGCGAAGAATTCAAGCCTGTATCGTGAGGAGAATACGACATATCTACCATTTTGTTGGGTGCAATATTTTTGAATATCTCAGAATTTGTCCCTATCCCTTCAACATTTCCCTACAAGGCCCTGAGCACCTCCTGAGTGAGGTTTACTTTCTCTCGTGTGTTTGTGGTGTGTCAGGTCGGTGACATCATCAGCTCGAAGAACGTCGTTGGCGAGACGTTATTGTCGAAAGCTGTCGAAAGCGGTGACGTCCAGCTGTTTGAACTCGTACGGAAGTGCGCATGGGCTCTCCTTAGTCCCAATCAGGTGAACGAATCGCGCCAATTTTTTTAAGGAGGGTCCCTCTGTCGGGCACCTGGGTACCTTGGTTCGCCCAGGAGAGATCGGCACACTCCCTCAAACTGACATTGACTCCACCGGAAATGGCTCGCCGGCCGGGGAAACTCGATACCTTGCTCGTTTACCTCCATGACGCTGTTGACGGCTTCATGCGACATGAATGGACGGAGTTTTGCTTTGAGGCGGCATCCCGTTTTGTCTTAACCATTGCTTTCGCCACCTCGCGATATCTTGGCGTGGGCCCGACGGTGGGTCATCTTGGCAGTTCGTGATGGAGGAGAGTTTGGAATTTGTGGCGCAATTTGAAAATTGCAAGCTCACAAGGATTCTCTGCTTGCCTAATCTACTTGCGCATTGCTGGATCCTTTGCTCGTGTGGTCCAGCGAGGGGATCTCGTCGAGTCCCAAAATATTTTTGGCGAATCCTTGCTGGCGAAGGCATTCGACATAGGAGATGAGAACCTGTTCAAAGCCGTCCTGGAATGCGCATGGGAAGTCCTCGATCACCATCAGGTATTAGCTCATTTGGTCATGTGGGGTTGACGAGTAGGGCCAACCATTCCGCTGTTGGCCAACAATCCCACTTTGTCGAGGCGATTTAGCTGCAAAATCGCTTGAGCTCCAGCATCCAGTGGGGTGTGCATTTTTTTTATGAACGTGTGAATACGTGTCGCTTGTGAGGCAACATGGAGGGATATGTGCCCCCTTCCTTGCCCTGTTCTACCACGTCTTGCTGGCGAAGACCGCGAATGTTGAATTGGCGTACGCGTAATGTTGAAAATGAAACAGCTGGACTGCACAAGGATGCGGCGAAGTCCGTTCGTCTGTGTTTTCAAAAGCGTTAGAGATAAGCTGCGCTGGCTCATTCGCTTTATCGATCGCTGATTGACCGTGTTTGAAAATCCGAACGAGTTGGTTTGGTTCTAGCCCAGGAAAGTCGCTGGTGATTTCTTGCTGTTCCGTTCGGGGGTTTTGCGCACACCCTTGATCAGTAGACACTCCGACTTTCTCGCCGTGTCTGTCGCTGCTTATGAGGTGCTGACTACTGAGCTTCAATCTTTCCGTTGGAGGTTTTCCTCTTGACTAGTCCAAATGTACCGGCGTGTTCGTGGCATCGATAACTCAGTCTACAAAACTCTGTTGCTGGCAGGCTGTTGGAAGCTGATGTGGAACAACTCCTAGTCATCTCCTCATGCGCTCAAGCAGGTGACCTCGTGGGGAGGTTGACGAGATCCCCAATTGTGATTGGGTTTGTGAAGTCAAAGGCTCGAACCCTCGAACATACCGCCGCTTTGTCGTTTCGAACGCAGCTCGTCGAGGCTTTGGCATTGGCAGACATGGAAAGTGTTATGCCTACGACAGTGTATGACGCGCATCAACTTGTGGCCTGCATGCTTCGGAAGGCCTTCGACACAGAGAATATCGGGGTCATTGAAGCTGCCTTGAAGTTCGTGGTAGGCCGCTGCAAAAACTTCGGAACAGAGGTACGTGTGGTCATGTTTGAACGGACGCTGTTGATACCGGTGTTTTTTTCATTTAGGCATGCCAAGCACTCAATGAACAGGTTTCTTGGGGTCACGAAAGGGAGTCAAGTTTCGCCTAACCGCCATTTTCTGCAAGTAGCACCACTCCTCTTTCCGTTTTTTTTCTCCACTTGAATTTGAAGGGGAAACGGGCGCCGTGTACTGTTGCCAACTGCCAGTACCTGCGCTTTCCTGCCGTCACGTACACGCACGGTGGATGTTGCGAAAGACGGTTCGAAGTGATGGGGGTCCCTGCCATCCGTTGTCCCTCGCTCGTCGGTGCAAGAGTACGGCCACCGCCTTGTACCTGGTACATGTGCTTGGAATCGCGGAGCCCGTGACAATTCTGCCTGCTTGGTGCAATTCGTAACGAGTTTGCGCGCAAATGTCTACCTATAGCAGATCGTGTAGTGGATTAAGTATCACAGATATGCTGTGCTCTTTCGATTTCGTGTGTGTGAATTTCATGAATGCCAGGTCGACTGGGAAACCATCGAGAGGTGGATGAAGGGATATCCCCGAAGCGCTAGGAGTCTTCATGCTCGGCTGGCACGAAGGTTGATGGATCGCTCATTGTCTGGCCGGAAGGTATGTTGAATGACTTGCCTCCAAGAACAGATTTTATGATTTCACCGATGTCGGCTGTTTGCACGGTCAGAAGTTCTGCAGTCTCCCATATATTTCTTTGGATTTTCCTGGTCTACCGATGGGAAGATTTCCGTTGATCATAAATCACCCTCGTCAGTACATATTGTGCGGGATTCGGCCGTTGCCATGGGCGTTTCGGTGGCCCTGTTGCCCATATCCAGTGCAGAAAAAATATCCATCCATCATTTTCTCGGCATCACGAACAGTGGTGCGTTGTCTCGTTGTTTTGCTCGCGCGTACCACATTCCAGGTGGCGGAACAGCGAAGCTCGTGGATGGACGGTGCATTTTCTCACGAGGCGAGGGATATATCGGAACGCTTCCATGCGGATGATTTCAAGATGCTGTTTTCGCTAATTGCAAACTCGGCACGGCCATCCGCCAGCGCGCTCAAGGAGCTCTCACGAAAGGCGGCATCTGGAGACATTTTCAAACGCTGCTGCTTGCGTGCTGTGACCTCCGCCGCGAACCCTTTCGTCCCCGGCGTCACCTTGTCCATACGGCTTAGTGAGGCCGCGAAGCAAGCTAGCGAGGGAGAGCGAAGGGCGCTTTTTGACACCAAGTCAAGCATTGACGAGCTGTTGCTGGAGATGTTCGAGCGCTTACCTCAGACGGTCCGTGGATTTGAAGAACAAGCGGGCATGGATTCCTGTACTAACGTTCTTGAGCCGGAACTGATGAGGGCAACAACTGGATCGAACGACTTAGGAGGGCCTCTGGACATGATTATTTCGGACCCGCTGCAGCTAGAGACGTTTTGCAAAGTTCCATTGATTATGGACTTCCTGTCAAGCAAATTTACGCTGGGCTTACCGGACCTGATGGACACGGCAGGATTATTGAAGAATGAGCACCATTTATGGTACCTGGAAGAGGATGGCCTCTTTCGAGACGAACACGGGTTCGGGTCGGACGGGATTCCGGTTGCGCTTCTTGCAGCGTTGCTTAAAGGAGTTCGGCAGGGAATATGGGATAATACTCCAATCCTGACCTTTTTGCCCGGGACACAGTTCATCGTGGCAGCAATGGTTGCGGCCCCAACCAAGTACTATGAAGTCCCAGCCATGAGAATGCTGCTGGATTTCGTGGTGTATGTTGGCATGGTCGCTGTGCTCAGCTCTTTCGTTCTCTTCCACAGCACGACCGAAAGTGATTCGGGGTTGGACGGCATCGTAGCCCACAGGTTGAGCCTCTCCGAAGGCGCATGTGCGCTGATTTTCATCACGGTGAGCACCTTCCAAACGTATGGTGGCCATGGCAGCTTTCAAAATGGTGCCGTGTTTTCTTTTTCTCGTCCATCATGTACGGGCGCAGTCGGCTACTTGCATTTCGGCAATCGGTCTGTATTGAACACGGCCCGTGCGCGATACACCGCGCAGCAAGGCTTTAGTTGCACCACTTAGGCCATCTCCCTCTACAACAATACTTGGAACATACCAGTGCGAAAATCCCCCACCTCCTTATCGCGCCAAACACGTTTGTTTCGTTCCTCAGGCTGGAGCATACCGAGAGGGGCGCGAGATGAAGCGGGGCATCCGTGCATACTTCAAGGACCAGTGGAACGTTCTGGACGCGCTAGGCATATTGTTCTTGTTCGTCGGCTTGGTCATCAGATGGGACGACTGGACCAGTACTTGGGGGCCAGCATTCTACGCCCTGAGTGCCCCGTTGGTGGTCGCCCGCGTTCTTTTCTTCGCCCAGATCCTCCAGTTCCATGGACCGATGGTCCAGGTAAATGCTTAAAACTTTTTGAAGCATTGGTGGGACCAGTAGATCGATTGTTGTGCCGATGAAAATACGACACATCGTCACCCATTTCATTTTTTGCCACTTCGCTGTGATACAGATTCACTGAGCCTGTTGTGCCGGAAGAATGGCAAGGATTCTTGTAGCATTAAAGTAGTCTGCTAGGTAGTTTGTGTTTTAGACTGGTTACCCCATGCGCAAGTAGTTTTTTGTCGATCTGTTGAGGGCAACCCACCGGACTTACTAATTTGGCAAGAACCAGGGCCAAGGTACACTCACAACCTCTTGCCACATCACCCACCTCATGCCGTACCCGCCCCCGTGCACAGGTGATTTTCCGCATGACGGCGACACTCTTGCAGTTTGGTGCGGTCATGTTGGTCGTCATGATCGGATTCACCATGGCGCTTCACGTTTTCTTCCGGGATGTAGCGGACTTTGGTGACACCTTGCTTGGCCTTTTCAAGGCCATGCTTGGCGAGACTGGCATCTTCGACGAGTTTTCCGGCGGACGATACGACCCTGTGGCCACGATCCTGGTTGTCGTGTATCTGTGCATCGTCACGGTTATGCTCCTTAACCTCCTGATTGCCATATTGAGCACTGAGCACGCCCAGGTAATGGAAAATACTGCTGAGGCGTTCAAGGTGTCGAAGGCGCGCATTATTGCTCACTACCGGACGGTTGTCGACAACGACGTGCTTCCCGCCCCCTTCAATTTGGTTCAGCTCATTCTATCGCTGGGGGTGATCGTTTTAACGTTACCATACTATTTTCTCCTGGAGGCGAAGAGAGAACACAGTGAGACAGAACGCCCTGCGACTGATGAGGATGGTCGCCTATTCTGGGGGAATGTGTGGGAAGGCGCGAGACATCGACATAGAAGCGCTAGGCGGGCCTTTGGGCAGTTCGTGTGGTGGCTCGTGCTGGGTTCTGTAGCTGTTGCTGGAGGAGCGATGCTGTGGAGTCTCTCGGGGTTATTCTACGCTCAGTATGCGTGCCACTCGTGGCTTTCGACTACGGACGAACAGAATTCTTTTTTTGGTTTTCTGCAGGAGGGCGACGAGGAGCCCGACGAGGAGGACACGGCCAAGGATGTTGTAGTGTTCGGCAGTTGTGGCTCACCACTATGGCGAATGCTTCAGGGTGTACGCATCGTGTTTAGATCCGTTCTTCAGTGGATCGGAGTTGTACTCGCCTGGTTCCTGATATTCTTGTTGTGCATTCTGGGTGCTCCGTGCTGCCTTGTTTTGCGATGGTTGATTTTGCCTGGTACGGAGTTTTTCTCTTGGTGCTGGAAGCTAGCTGCATGTCGGTCCACCCAGGATCCTGGCGAGGATAAAAAATCCCCAATGCGTTCTAGTACGCCCACGATAGAGAGCATGCTGAAGAAGGGCTGTTGTGGGGCAGGCGCGGAAAATCTGCTTGAATTCCTCGAAGACCCGATGAACGACAAGGATGTTCGGCAAGACGAGAAGGAGAGGAAGACCACGGTGGAACACATCAAGCTTCTCCGGGACCGCCTAGAAAAGACCACGGTGGAACGCACCAAGCTTCTCCGGGACCGCCTAGAAAGGACAACCGATAAGCAGCTTCAGGAGTTGCGCAAGAACGTGGCGTCGAAGGACGAACTAGAGGAGTTGCGCCACCATGTGGCCTCCAAAGTGCAAGACATGCAGGGCGGTTTGGAGAAGATACTGGCTTTGGTGCAGGAACTGAAAAGTACTACAATCAGCAGTGGTACATAAAGAAGTTCTATGGGGGTGTCTTGTGTGTTGCGTGTCGAATCTCTCTGAGCGCCGCAGGTAGGGCGGCTGGCTTGGTACGCTTTTGTCAAACGAGTTTCCATGTATCCTGTTTGGGGAGGGTGTGGGGTGCACCGTTGGCCGTACTCCTTAGGCATCTCTGGCGCGTAGAGCACGTGGCTAGCATGTCTCGCGGGTAGGCAAGGAAATTGGCCGTGGTCGTGATTCTAGTGGGGGAAGCTAAGGCGCCCGATGGCCTGGGTTTCAATAAGCTTGAAGATATCGCTGGGGGGGCAAGAGCTAGAGTCTATTCGATGAAGGTCGACGGCTACCTTTAGCGATTCGGAGACGCTAGTGTTAAGGAGCACGATAACACTAGACCACCAGCCAGCGCTGACTAATGATCAAAAGTTAATCCCCGGGGTTCGAATCTCCCCTTGAGCATTCGAGGAATATGCCGAGGGTTTTATTATTTGCGCCCGATATACTAGTATGGGATAAAAAGGTCTGACGAGGCTTCGCAAAACGTGCGATGAACCTCTTGTACCGATGGAATTCTCCGGGCAAGACAGCGCTGATCACAGGGATGGCAACCCCGGGGGGACGTGTTCGTGGCTTGAAAGAAAGCTTGACGGACTCGGATATTAACTTTGGGAAGGAGCACGATGACCACTAGACCACTAATCAGCCGCTGACTAGTGGTCTAGTGCTCACCGTGCTTCTCAACAAACCGGTATCGCGATCTGCAAAACCCGGTTCGAGGTGCGCTTACGCCCCCTCGAGCTCACGTCTGGCTCCTTCTCCTTCTCCTCATCCCTCTCCCTTCGCTCCCCCCCCCCCCCCCCCCCCCCCCCCCCCCCCCCCCCCCCCCCCCCCCCCCCCCCCCCCCCCCCCCCCCCCCNAGTGAGGATGGCTTACGGAAACGTCACAGGTTGAGTGATGTAGGAGATTGCCGGACACATCGACGTGTTGAGTGATTATTGCTGTATACTGAAACCAAAGGGTTGAGTGAGGTTTGAGATGTTCGTGTTTGTTGTTTTTTTTGTTTTTCTCCCACCATTGGACTCTGTTCTGTCGTCTGCCCCTCTGGCCCCTATCCTTCACTTCTACTAGCTAGACNGGCTTACGGAAACGTCACAGGTTGAGTGATGTAGGAGATTGCCGGACACATCGACGTGTTGAGTGATTATTGCTGTATACTGAAACCAAAGGGTTGAGTGAGGTTTGAGATGTTCGTGTTTGTTGTTTTTTTTGTTTTTCTCCCACCATTGGACTCTGTTCTGTCGTCTGCCCCTCTGGCCCCTATCCTTCACTTCTACTAGCTAGACGACCCAACCGGGGTCACAAAGGAGGGGGGGGTTGGACCCCCTCCTGCGGTTCATGCCTGAGGTATTTTTATCGCGAGAAGGGCACAGCAATCCCTTCCCTCGCGACTTACGAACTCGATTATGGTTTACTAACGAACGAGCTTTGCAGCGCGTCGCTTTCATCCTAGACCAGGATTTATTTAGTGAGAAAAAAACTCTCGTGTGTTTGGATACGAACTGGTTAGATCTACCGGCAACAACAGAGGCACGAAGATGGGGCACATGTACACCTTGAAATGGTCGCATGTGCGGGGACCCCTCGAACTCCAAAGAGGGCTTCACTTCTCCCTACTCCCCTTGCGTGTCTAATACAAGAGATAAAACGATTTCCCCTTCCAAGTAAAGGACATATACGAACACACTAGTGTCAGTCCCTCGAGGGAGAGTCCATTAGGAATGTCAGGTCGCAAAGATGGGGGTGACTCCTCCAGCGACTCTGCGGCGGAAGACAGAAAGAGGTCAAGTGAAGAGCTCGTGGCCCTGAGGACACCAGTCAGCTCGCTGACGGATCAGATGAGCCAGCTAATGTCGCTAGTGGAAGATACCATCAAGGCAAGCAAGAAGGAGGAGCCAGTTGGCACCCTGGAGGGTGCCGCTGATCGCGGCGATGCTAGGGAGAGCGCCGCTACGGAGTTCACGAACGCCGAAGGAGGGGCACCGTGGACCGGGAGTGCGCAGGACGGGANTGAAGAGCTCGTGGCCCTGAGGACACCAGTCAGCTCGCTGACGGATCAGATGAGCCAGCTAATGTCGCTAGTGGAAGATACCATCAAGGCAAGCAAGAAGGAGGAGCCAGTTGGCACCCTGGAGGGTGCCGCTGATCGCGGCGATGCTAGGGAGAGCGCCGCTACGGAGTTCACGAACGCCGAAGGAGGGGCACCGTGGACCGGGAGTGCGCAGGACGGGAGGTACCTGCGCGAACGTGTTCGAGAGTCTGGCCGTCAGGGCGACACAGCGGCGAAGCAGGGGGCTTTGTCCCCCAAGAGGTGAGAGTAGCCGCTGCTCACAACCAAGATTATAGTAGTGCCATGGGAGATGGTGGTGCTGGTGTTGGCTTTAGATACGGAGCCACAACCCCAGCGACGGGGTACCAAAAAGTGCGGTACACTTCTCCTCCATTCAGCGGGAAATCGAAAGATTTCAACGAATGGCTAAATGGTTTCCGCATGGCAGCTAATGGCGCAAACCTGTTGGAACAATTTGAAGAGAGCGGGAGCTTGGAGATCCCCGTCAACAGCGGAAAGAGCAAGTTTTCGTTGTCACAGCAGTACCGGAGCAAGCAAGCAGAGCTCGCATTCCACGCGTAGAACTTCCTGTCTCACGCGTTAAAAGAAAAATATCGGAAAATCATGAAGAGGGCAGAGACGCCCCAGGGAGCTCTTCGTGAGCTCAAGACCATACACGACCCTGAATCATCTGTACAGCCGTCAGAGGACCTCAAGTCCTTGACGTCGACCAAGGTCTCTAGAGGTGAACACCCCCAAAACACCCTCAATGAGATGCTCCAAACCGCAAAGTCCTTAACCGAGAATGGACCAACTGTCAACGAAACGTTCGTCCTTCACGTCTTCCTGGATGCCCTTTCGGACGAGTATGCCATGACAAAGCACAACCTGCGACACGCGAAGGAGTTGACGCGGACCGGTGTGCTAAAGGAAGCAATGATCGAATACAAGGTGATCAAGGACAAGCTGGAGCAGTGGGAAGGAAAAGTGGCGAAGGGCGCAGAGCAAGCGTACTTCGCCGATGGTGAGGGCCGCAGGGAGCGGTACTCAAGTAGGAGTCAGGGGCAAGGTCGTGGTCGTGGCGGCGGCCGTGGCCGCAGCAGCAGTCGTGGCCGCGGCGGCAGCGGTTGCGGCGGCCGCTCAGGCGGATCCGGAGGAGTCGAGGAGAGCAAGGGAAGCAGCAGTGGAGGCGCCGATGGCGGCGGTGGCGGGGACTATAAGTTACAGGGCCGGTGCTTTAGGTGTGGACATCGTGGACATCAAGCGATCGGCTGCACTACCAACGAGAAGAACTTAGTGCCGTGGTGTGCGCGCTGCGAGGGGTGGGGCCACACCAAAGAAAAGTGCGCGACGGAGGAGGCCGTCCTAGCCCAAGTGTTGGAGCGTGCGAGCGACGTGGACTCCGTGGAAGACCAGCCGTTTTGTGCCGTGGCAGTCCCCCCAGGCGAGTGTGGTACCGTTGGTGAAGTAGGTCTAGTGGGGGTTGTGGAACAAGGCCAGGCGGTGTATGTGGCCGACACAGCGGCCACGTGCTCCATGTTCCGATGTGCAGACAACTTCGTGAACTACCGTGAGCGTATCGGTTGGGTGAAGGGGATCGGAGGCGAGAAGGCCCCCGTTCCTCTTCTAGGATACGGAGATGTGACCTTAGTCCTACAGACGGAAGATGGTGGAGTACCCGTACCAGTACTGAATGCTGCCCATGTACCAGAGGCCCCCCTACAACCTCCTCTCGTTGTCTTCGTTGGCGGAGGTGAGCCACACGCATTCGGGGATGAAGGGGGGCCTCACGCTGACCACGAAAGCCGGGGGGGACGTGTGGTTCCCCCGGACTGGAAAGCTGCTGACCCAACGAGGCTATCA